TTGTGCAGCATTATGTGAGTTGAAAGAAACGTAAGTGAAATTTTTGTCAGAAACTTTACACACTCACCATTAACCTTGAGAGAAAATTTTCAGTGAAATTGTTTTGTTCGAAAATCATGTACCATGCTATGTATGTATGCTAACCATGTTATGTATGCTATTCGACTCAGTCTTGTTTGCTCATCTCAAATATGTTATTAGATTTGCTTGAAAATAGAAGGAAAGTGAAACAGGCACAAAATAAGTGGAATAGCGAAAACCAGAAGTGAGCGTGTAATGTTTCTGACAAAAATTTAACCGGCGTTTTTCGAAATCATAGGTTCCTATGATTATTTTTTCATAATTACGATACGCATTGAATGCAGATTCTATAGTAGAAAGTGCGACCCTTAGTTCCTCACCCTCGCTCTTCTACGTATGCTTCACTTGTCGATGCTCGTTCTCAATGAATTTCCAGAAGCACACTCTGGTTAACCTTCATATTTTGACTGGATAGTCTACAGTTGTCGAAGAGTATTTGCTGTGAGTTTGAAGTCTAATTAATGTTCCTAGAATGAGTTATGAATTTTTCTTCAAAAGGACCTCATATCTCAGTACTTCATTCATCATATTACAGCCCGTAATATGATGAATGAATATGATGAATATAAAATACCTGTATTTCACTGAATGCTAATAGCCAACTCACAAAACATTGTATTATAGATAGAGTAGAGTCGTGGCTGCATTTCAGTAAAAAGATAAAGTTTTCATCTCTCTTAGGTCAGAAGCTATTGATATTTTACGGAAAAGGCATAAATCGCTTATATCTCACAAATCATCTAGTAAAAGAGGCTCACACTTAGTGGGCGATCGGTATTCGGCAAGAGCTTTGGCCACTCAGAATTCGAAGTTGTTAGCTATCATGGTTCTTGAGTTACAGATGAACTTTTGCGGAGTGCTGTATTAAGAACTGCAAAATTATTGCAATACATCCTTTAGAGCAAAATTGACGTATTTCCGTTGAAAACATCTACCAAAACTTTTTTAACGACATGTTCTTTAGTCAGTGATTTCATTCTCTTTATTATGACGTACATATTACCAAAATATAACGGATCGCGGCAGGTTCTTTTTTGAAAAAACGAAATAGATTGCTACGTACAATATGTTCTTTCGTAGCATATGAATCAATCTTTCTCTAACTTAAAAAGTAGAACGAAATTAAGAAATAAAGAAATATGTTCTACAAAGAATATATTCGTCTCTATAGGAACATCTTTGTCTTTGTCTCTTTCGACATCGCATAGCATAGCGGTACGTACAATCGTCCCTTACAATGTCTATCGTACATTTGTGTTATTTTGCATATATTACTATTGTTTCATGATTTATTTTCCCCTTTTCTTTTTAATTTTTAATTCCTCGTTAGATAATCGAAATCGTGCATAATTAGAGTTATTTCTTTGAAATAATTTTTGTCATTTAAAATTGAATTTAATAAAAAGTTTTTCTGATTATTAGGGAATATTTTTGTGATTTTGCCGATTTAACATTTGACAATCTAGTATAATATGTTTCCTTGTTTAATAATCTTGCTTACATAACGAACATAATGGAGTTGATGTTTTTCAATAGATAAAATTTTTTAATTGTGTTTCGTATGTATTCTGTCTTAGTTTATACAATAACCTTTGATCCTGTCTGTTCATCAACAATAATTCCACTGGTGTTTCTAATTCAGGATTAACATTTAAATATGATTTATTAATGGAACATTGTTGATATTGTTGTTGTTTTCACTGCATTCTTATATAATTATGTAAAAGATTGAATATCTTATCTATAGTGTATTCGAAAGTTATTAACAAATGATGATGATATTGTGTTGCTAATTTTACTGCTTCGTCCGCCAAATCATTTCCAATATTTCCACCATGGCTAGGATCCAATAAATGCTTACACACATTTTTGTTTTTGTTTCAAATCGTTGATTATTGATATTATTGTTGATATTATATTATTATTTGTTTCCTTGATGTTATACTTTTGAGCGCTCCTTGATTGTCACAAAAAACCGATACAGTGCTATGTTGTTATGTGGTAATTAACATATTGTAGAGTCATCAGTATTGCTGTTATTTCAGCATAATATGAGGAGTGATATTTTACCTGAGTATTTTGAATATGTTAAATTTCATTTTGGTGCAACTGCTGCAGAACCACAATGATCATCTATTTCAGCTGAGCGTATAAAGTGAAATTTGATTGTATTTATGACTTACATCAAGAATGTAGATGAAGAGTCACTGTGACCTTCTGTAGTCGTACATAGTCTCTAGCTTTTTACCCGTTTTTGTTTAAATAATTTTTCTTAAATATTGTTTTGGATTATAGAAGAGAAAGAGGAGAAGAAAAGGTTTGAAGATATTTCTCTTGACTATATTTTTATTCTAATTGATTGCATTTTCATAATGATTTATACATTTTTGCACAGATAATTGCAAACATCAAAATTTCCGACCGCCACACTGAAGCGGCCGAGATAAACGTGTTGCAGAGGGAGAAGAAAACAAAAAAAGTTGCGGTAAAGTACCTGAAAAACTTAGAAAAAGTTTGTGTTTTCTCTCTACGTCCGAATCTTCGTCACTCTATGATTGAGAATGGAGACGAGGAAAAGAAGGAACTTTTGAAGTCCACAAATCCGAACAAACATGTCAATCAATACTTCGAATAGGCCTTTTTTTTTCTTTTTATTTTAAATAATTTTATCTTCACCTCTTGCTCTCTCACTCTTCTATAGGTCCTATTAATATTATTAGAAAAGTAGTTGCCTTAAAATTACGCAACGCTCACTATTTGTTCAGTTGCGTTAATATAACTCAACTTTAAAAATGACCCAATTCTGTCATTTCAGTACGCATAGAGTATAAGTTAAAATTTATTTTCGAGTTCTCTGCATAAAGATATGGAATGAAAACTAAATTTTCTCTTTTCTTCCCTGAATGAATATGAATGACAACCGTACAAGATCATCCTCATTATACTTTTCATCCTTTTACATACAGCTGTACTATTCTCTTGCATATATATCACTTTCCTTTTTCTGTTATTAGAGCCGTATCCAAATAAGGAATATCTCTATCTTTTAACTTCATACGTAGCTCAGTTGTAGATGAAGAGTCACTGTGACCTCCTGTAGTTCACTCATTTCCATTGTTAGCCTTTATTTACATGCTTTATCCCCTATATCTCTTGCTAATCGCTTAGTCTTATCCTTAGCGACTTATTAATATCTAATTCTTATTTTGCGAAACACAATCTAAAAGGTTTGTTGAGGCATAGAGGCAGAAATATAGACCCACTCCAAGCCACACCGACGTGACAGACATCCTTAGCAACATATCCTTTCATCACAGACCGAGACGAATACGTCTGTAGGTTCTTTGTTTACGATGTGAGCACATTGATCGTGTTTCACATTTTAATCCCGCAGGGATTGCGCTAACAGCTTTTTCCTAGTATATATTCAAAGTGAATGTTAAGTAAATAATGCAGAGGCAACGGTAGACTATCTTAAAATGTTTTCAAGGATTTCACCAATAGTACTTTTTCACTATTGTACTTCTGTACATCTTAGGTGATACAGTTTGATCAGTTAACATATGAAGTACTACAATTGAGTTACAAGTCAACGCATTCAGAATGGCGAATCAGAGACGAGCACAGGACACGACTGTACTGCTGTCCTGCCGTACAGGACAGGACGAAGAACAAAATTTTGCCCTGTCCTGCTGTGCGGCAGGACGGAGCAGGACGGTGCGGCAGGGCAGGACAGGACAGACAATCTCGTCCTGCTATTTTTAATGTTTTTTTTCTATTTGAAAAATAATAAAAAATTCAGAAGTTCCTCAATTCGATAAATACTTCTTAGTGATCCAAAACTATCATAAGAGAGAACGAAACAACCAAACAACAGTAAGAAAACACCATTATACATAGTTTGGTAATAATGGTCTCTTTCTGCTTTTCGTTTGTATTTTTTTTTCTTGTGATACTCTTGTTGTTAAATACGTGATCCACGCTACGCCGGTTAAGATTGAATTAAGGGATGTCGCCAATTCGCCAAAAACAGGAATTGAGGAAAATATAATTCTCCGTTTCAGAAGTATAAAACAATTTTAAATTTCGAAAATATATTAATGTGGAAGAGGAATTGTTGCTAGTTAAATATATTGTAATCGATGTATGAGCAGTTTTTCTTTCTTTCAAAACCTCTAAAGGCGAAGAAAAAAGAACATGAGAAAGCAAAATTTTGTGAGATCCATAACACGTTGTTGTGTATATGATGTCTATTCCAAGACTATGATGACACTAACTAACACCATATACCCTTTTTTACAAACAAATGTAAAGGATATATATAGGACCACAATGGAAGAAAGGATCGAGAAGAGAACAATATAGAAAAATACCAGACAGAAAGAAAGAGAACGCAAGAAATAAATATATCTGTATAGCAAGAAAGAGAACGATTACACATATGTATGAAATCATACAAATCATCTTTAGCATGTGCCACAAGAAAAGTTCAGTAGCAAATGCGTTTTTTTTCGAAAAGCTTTTTGGTTCTAATTAAAATATTTTTCTAGCACTTTGTGAAGGTTTTCAGAATTCTAAAATCTTTAAAGTTTTAGGATTTCACTTGTCTCACCCAAATCAGACTACCGAGTGATATTAGTTTCCGATAATACCTTTACGATTTCCTAGAATACTAATTTCATTTTCGACAGTAACGTATGAGTATTGTAAAATGCTTTTTGAGTGTCGAAATCGCTATTTTTGAAAACCTAAGAGTTTCCTATGGTTCGAAAACCCGTAAGATGTTTCGAAAACGCTTTGAGACGCCAGAAACCCTTTCGGAAACCCGTAAAAGTTTTTGAAAAGGTTTGACTTTTCTAGAGAACAGGTTCATTTTTAGAGTTAAAGACTGGTAAAATTGCCAGCTGTTGCATTAGATTATGTCATCCAAGGTTCTTATCATCAATGCCGACGATTTCGGCTATTGTCCTAGACGAAATGCTGCCATTATCGATCTTTGTCGCCGACAGCTTATCTCATCAACCAGTTTATTGATCAATGGAGATTATGCGAGTCAAGCTCGTACATTGGCTGCTCTATACCACATACCGATCGGTTTACATTTAAATCTGACTGAAGGCCGACCGATCACGACCGATTTGAGTCGCATTCGATCATTAGTCGATGCATACGGCATGATGCACGGTAAAATCGGTCTGCGTAATGCAATCGACCAGGGATCGATCGATATGACTCATGTTGAATATGAAATTGAAATGCAATTTCGTCAATATCGACAATGGACAACAGACGGACAATATCCGATGCATATCGATGGCCATCAACATATTCACGTTCATCCGATGTTAGCCGAGTGCATCGCTCGGCAAGCGTATCGCTTCGATGTGAAATATATTCGTGTGCCGTTTGATCAAGCAATTCTCGCCATGTCGAATCCAGAGCCATTTTATCGAACTGTGGTCGAACAGACTCGCTACGCTCGAACGGTTTTTGATCGTTATGGTCTTTGCTATCCGTCCTATTTTATCGGTTTGACTACTATGGGTCGAGCAATGACATACGAGAATCTCGAAAGATGTTTTCAAACGTTTACATCGGATGAAACATCTAGCATCGCCGAACTAATGTGTCATCCGGGTTATCCAAGTGAAATATCCATCGGAGGTTGCGGAACGGGACAGCCGGATGAATTTTCCTGTTCGCTAGATCGTCAGCATGAATTCGATCTGTTATTTTGCGACGAATTTCGGCAACTTTTGGCTAAATACCGTATTCATCTCGGAACCTATGCCGATATCGATCACAATTACAAACGAGATTGATACCGATAAGTAAGACAATAATGCACCAAGCCCGGACGCTAGTCACTGTGAATAGCATAGTTAGTCACCATAATGGGTGATTCCGTGGAATTCCTATCACCATTACATGAACTTTCACGGTCCAACATGAAACTTTCAGCATTTTAAGTACTCAGTGAGCTGATCATTTTGGTATAAAACTGTTGGGCATTGTCTCATCACGTTCATGATTGCCAGCCATCAAAAAAACTCTATTTTTCGTGCTTTCACACTTATATACAGAGCTGCCATTACAGTTCAATTTCACATATCTAGACATCACTAGAAAAGAGAAAAGAAATCTAACATCCTCTTCATCTAAGTCAAAGAAATTGAATAATTATTTTATAGTTAGGTTTTGATCGTACTTTTAATAATTCTTCATTCAAGCAGCTAAATGACTGCTAGAAGAAGAGAAGCTGTGAGACACGCAGTCTATTTAGTACTTTTCACGAGCTGTAGAGTTGATTAATATTTCAATTATTTATTCAATTCAAATCTTTTATTTCGAGGCAGAATTCACAAATAAATAATTATTCAATAAAATTCATAAATAACTCAGTTGTACTGATAAAATATACTATGATCTACTACACTTTATGTAAGTTTATATAAGGATAATAATTGAATCAAGTATCACTTACTCAACGCAAATAATAACGATAATAAAAACGATTAATAAGATTAAAAAATGTCTGACTAACTACTAAAATTATATTTATTCAGTAGATTCACATAAAAATTCTTTTTTGCTAAGAAATTTAAGGTAAGGTGTCTATATATATCCAATCGAAATATCATCACAATGTAACACACAAATTATCGATGGTAAAATAATAGTATGTGCCTTCACTTACATGAAAGTGTATTTGATCAATGCCAGACCAATTGAGATTGATCAATGTTGTATTGGTGGTGAAGAGTTTCAGAGTTGCCTGAAATATCATTTCTTGTGTGTTTGAACCAGCGATTGTCACCTGTAGGTCCTTAAGATCAGCGGCTGACTGCAAATGTACCTACCACTACTACTCTCTAAAAAAAAATAATTTATTACGAAACTTAAAAAGGTATAGAGAATTGCAACGATTTCTATACCCTTTTAAGTTTCGTACGAGCCTATGTTCCGGCGTTCAGCTACGAAACCTGTATTTTTTATTGACAAAAAAGGTTGCGTACAACGGGTTTCGTATTAAACCCTAGTAAAAGAGGTTTCGTACAAACTTGATGATCATATTTCGGCTACCTCTCAATTTTCTCAATCAGGCCTTTTGTAATTGTGATTCTCAGCCAGCCGATTTTATGTCGTTTTGTAAAGCTCTTCCTTGCGGACTGTATATCGATAGTAACTGCAAGTATTTTACAGACAGATTTTTCCATTTAATCTCTACAATCCATGCAGAAAAATTCAATATTTAATTGGAATTATTTATGCGAAATTGATACGTGTATTTTCTTAGGCTTCAATGAACGTGGTACCGGAGCTGGGCAAGTGAAGACTTGACTTGGGAAAAGGTTTTACCGATCTTCTGATCGACTACTAATTTGGTCTGTCTCTTAAGTCATTTCAAAAGTGCATTCTTTTAATACAGAGAAATGATATTAAAGATCTAAGTACAGTCGTTTTCCAGGCAGAGCCGGGCAAGTCAAGACAAAAACGCCTCTATTCCAAGTCAAGTCAGACTTGACTGACTTGAAGAATCTTTTCGTTGACTGAGACTTGCAAAAATCCTTACTTGCGCAGTTCTGCGTGGTACAAAAGCAGGGAAAAAGCGAGCTCATTTATTGTCATTCTATATTTGACTATGTATAGTTTCAAATTTGACACACTCATTTACACTCTTTCATTCTGATGATGACAGTGGATTCTGTCGAAATATCAATGAAATAAATACATTATGATTAGTTAATCGTGTTTATAGCAGTTCTGTACTTCATTACCTCATTATTTAAATCATTAACTGCTCTTTCTCCTAACTTTATAATAAAGCAAGTACACTCCGCTATGCAAAAAAGACACACGGCTTTCCCAAAGAAGATGTTCCTCAATCGTTAACCGTTATTGAACTTTTTTAGATCGTGTGAACATTTCTAAACTTGGTTTAACTAACCGAGGAAAGAATGATATGGGAAGACAGTACATTTAACTTTTCCCGATGAAGTAGACTATAGTTCATGCAAAAAGCAAAGAAATAAAATAGTCATCTTTCACATTCTGTCATTTATTGATTTTTGTATTAGTCCAATCGCAGCAGAGAAAAAATAGCTCCATCTAATGGTATTCACATAAATCGCGTGTTTCAAATCGACAACGTCTTTTCGATAACTATCTTAAGACTAATAAATATCTAATTGTTACACTACTACTAATTGTTTGTTGGGTTTTCAACATATTCTTCTTTCATCGAAGGAGTGTTTACTGCGATACGAAACTGGTAAGGTTTTGCGAAATTTCTACTAAACTTTTAATGCTACGAAACCACTTCGCCGGTTTTGTATACTCTGTAAAAAAACCTTGTAGAAAATATTTTGTTTTGAGGTTTCGTACCGTCGAACAAACCCTTTGAATTTCGAAATTTCGCTACAAAACCATTAAAAGTTTCGAAAAAATACACGAAACCTTAATGGTTTAGTATGGAGCCTTTTTTTTGGAGAGTACCTTTGCTGATTATTGTTCTTTGACGAAGATTGTATGCAACATAATCACCACTAACAACACCATGACGATAACCAAGGATTGCCGATCGCATACCATTTTTGAAATAAAAACCGTCGCAATTTAAGCCGTTGTATTCCTTTCGAATGCTGCCGCTCTCTCCCGAAGTTACATCATCAAACGTCATACCAATTTGACCTTTTGGAAAAACTATTAAATAATGAAAAATAGATAAACATAAATGTTAAATGGAAAGTTGAAGTCCGTTTTGTTCATCTGAATTTTTGTAGAAATATATTTTACTAAAATATTTTGTGTATATGGCCAGCCAGCTATATGTATATCATTTATTTTTGAGAAATTTAAATTTTAGTGATGAAACTGTGAGAGTGAGGGTGAATTCATTGAAAATAGTTACATGAAAATAGTTTTTTTAATCACAATTTAACACACAAACTATCGATTATAAAATAATAGTATTTGTCACCACTTCCATATAACCTTATTTTGCCAATGCCAGACCAATTGAGATTCATCAATGTTGTATTGGTGGTGAAGAGTTTCACAGTTGTCTAAAACGTCATTTCTTGTGTGTTTGAACCAGTAATTGTCACCTGTACAAAAATCAATAAATGACAGAATGTGAAAGATGACTAACAAATTAACGAAATATTATCAAGAGAAAAAGAAATTAATTTTATTTATCAGCAGCATCTAAGAAAATCGGTTGATAAGAAGGAAACAACAAAGGAAGATGAACAACAACAATTGAAAACGGGCGATGTTGACCAATTCAACCCGCAACGATGTTTAGCTGCGTCATTGAACAGGTTTAATACTGAAGAAAATCAACAACA